AATCAAGGACCGTTTCCCGGAGGATTTCGCCGCCCGTGACGAGGACAAGTACAACTACCGCTACCGCGGCGGTGAGTCGTACCGTGATGTCGTCATCCGCCTCGAGCCCATCATCATGGAGCTCGAGCGCAGTGAGGACATCCTCATCGTCACCCACCAGGCCGTGCTGCGCTGCATCTACGCCTACTTCATGAACAAGAACCAGGCCGACAGCCCCTGGATGAATGTGCCACTGCACACCCTCATCAAGCTCACCCCTCGCGCCTACGGAACCGAAGAGGTGCGCTACGAGGCTAACATCCCGGCTGTCAGCACCTGGCGTGGCAAGGGTTCTACGGCCAAGCACGAGAACCCGGTTCCTGAGTGTATGTGAAAAGAATTTTGCTGAGGTGGTCAAGATTGACTGACGGATTGATATAGAACTTTGAGGAGACGGACGCGGGCGTGTCTGTCACGCGGTCACAGTCTCTGTGTCCAAGACAGTTCGAGGTCGACTTTAGACCTGCGCGCGCGAAGGATTTCCATTTTTCTCTTGACGACGACGACGTTTTCAGACTCCACTTTTCGGCATATTCCACTCGGTTCACGATGGCGTTTAGGGACAACACGGAGAGAGAGAAAAGATGACCCAGTACATGGAGTACGGCGGCAAAAAAACGCGGAGAGTGGCGGCATATGAAGTCGGAGGGAATCCGACAACCATTCTCGATGGAACAAATTACCTTGCTTTTTTACTGGACCAGACGGACGTCAACACGGCGACTACATCACACTGTTTACACTTCTCACGATGAAGTGGGCTTCCACGCTTTCAGAGTCTTGCGGTTGCTGTCGCGATGCATCTATGGTCCGGTATCACAATTACTTTGCTCAAGATCCTACAACTACTCTAGGACAAATGTTCTCAAGGTTCGACGATTCACAATCAAAATGAAAGGGGACGAAAGGGGGGGACAAAAGTTGCATCGATCGGACGGGGGTTTACGCGGGAAGTTTGAGTGGTTGCGGACATCGGCATAGAGGTTCGGCTTGGACCAAGGACCGTTTGACACCCGTCTGGGTGTAACGAGGGGCTGGACGGTGGGACTTTTTTTGCTGGCCGGCCTTCTCTACATGTTCCCTTTAGTTTCCCAGTTTCATAGCTTCATGATGAATGTACCTACGTTAGGTACCAATGACTCTCTCTCTCTCGCTGTTGTGTGACTGACATAGGACTGATGCCTCATCGTGCTGACAGGGCTTGAGGAATCAGCACCATTGAAGGTGGTAGATTCCGAAGGAGTGTTTTAATACCGCCTTCTTCCAGTCGGTGTAATCAGCCCCATAAGAGCCAGTCTAACGGCGAGTTCAAGGCCAAAAGCTCCCTCGACAACTATCCGACGAGACCCGCGGATCAGGCAACTTTGACGGAATTATATGAATCTGGGATGCTCAGCAGTAGCCTATGAATCAAACAGTTACTCGGTGATGTCTACGCTTGCAGCGACCTTGCTGGGAATCATGGCCTATGGAACGTCCAAGCATCTTGTCATCGAAGGAACCTGACCTGATTTTCATGTGAGTCATAGGCACGAAACTATCGTTCGAGGTGGCTTCTACCGTGATGGCCTCGAGCACAACATGAAAAGCTTGAATCTGATTCCAGACTCTGCTCTGTGGGCATAAAAGACCGGGACGCCTACGTGCACCAATCCCACCATCAGCATTAGGTACGTACCTTTTGCCCCGCACCACATTCCGTTCGGGGTGGATTAACCACCTCCGTTATCAGCCCAGACTTTTCAGACCGATAAGAAAAAAAAATTCCCAGGCGGGAGAGGGTCGACGCTCATAGAGCCAGCTGCAGAGAGAAGTTCACTCCAGCCGCCTACACTGCACGGTTTTCTACAACGCAATTTTCGCATTGCAAAAAACCGCCACAAAACCACACAAAATGGACGCCGCCACGAGCAAGAAGAGAAAGTCGCGCGACTCCAATGGCGTAAAGGTCTCCAGCAAAAAGCGAGCCGCCGAGGCTGAGGTCCCCGCTGCCACGACGACCGCTGAGGCCCCCGCGAAGAAGTCCAAGAAGGTGAAGCGCAGCAAGCAGCCCGAGCCCGAGCCGGAATCCGACGAGGAGGAAGAGGAGGAGGTCGAAGCCGTATCCGGCAGCGACGCCGAAGATGTCGAGAACGAGGAGGAGACGGCCGCCGCCAACTTCAAGACCGACAACGCACAAGACGACAACGACGAGGGCAACGGCTCCGACCTCGACGAAGACGTCTCAGCACCCGCAAAGGAAACAGCCGACGGCGACGACATCCCCAACGCGCAGCAACTCTCCCTCCCGCCCGTCGCGGGCGCCGAGGCCCACGACTTCTCCGAGCTCAACCTCTCCGAAAAGACAATGAGGGCCATTGGCGACATGGGCTTCACCAAGATGACGGAGATCCAGAGGCGGGGTATCCCCCCCTGCTGAGCGGCAAGGACGTCTTGGGAGCAGCCAAGACGGGTTCAGGAAAGACGCTCGCGTTCTTGATCCCCGCCGTCGAGATGCTCAGCGCCCTGCGCTTCAAGCCGCGCAACGGCACGGGCGTCATCGTCGTCTCGCCTACCCGCGAGCTGGCGCTGCAGATCTTTGGTGTGGCGCGGGAGTTGATGGCGCACCACTCGCAGACGTATGGCATCGTCATCGGCGGCGCGAACCGTCGCGCTGAAGCAGACAAGTTGCAAAAGGGCGTCAACCTGTTGATTGCCACGCCCGGCCGTCTGCTGGATCACCTGCAAAACACCCCCTTCGTCTTCAAGAACTTGAAGTCCCTCATCATCGACGAGGCCGACCGGATATTGGAAATCGGTTTCGAGGACGAGATGAGGCAAATCGTCAAAATCCTGCCCAAGAATGACCGCCAGACGATGCTCTTCTCCGCGACGCAGACGACCAAGGTCGAGGACCTGGCGCGCATCTCACTGCGCCCGGGACCGTTGTACGTGAACGTCGATGAGAAGCAGGAGCACAGCACTGTTGCGAACCTGGAGCAGGGGTACGTCCTCTGCGATGCGGATAAGCGGTTTCTGCTGCTCTTCTCGTTCCTGAAGCGCAACCTCAAGAAGAAGGTGATTGTCTTCTTCAGCAGTTGTAACTCGGTCAAGTACCATGCCGAGCTGCTCAACTATATCGATTTGCCGGTGCTGGATCTGCACGGCAAGCAGAAGCAGCAGAAGCGTACGAATACGTTTTTCGAGTTTTGCAATGCGAAGCAGGGTACGCTCATCTGCACCGACGTTGCCGCTCGTGGTTTGGATGTAAGTCACAATCGTCTCCAAACAAACTTGTAGATGGAATAGTTTACTGACAGAGCCGCCCCCTTAGATCCCCGCCGTAGACTGGATCGTCCAGGTTGACCCCCCAGACGACCCGCGCGACTACATCCACCGCGTCGGCCGAACCGCCCGCGGCTCCAACAGCAAGGGCCGCTCCCTCATGTTCCTCCAGCCCAGCGAGGTCGGCTTCCTCACGCACCTGAAGGAAGCGCGCGTCCCCGTCGTCGAGTTCGATTTCCCCGCCAACAAGGTCGCCAACATCCAGTCCCTGCTCGAGAAGCTCATCAACCAGAACTACTACCTCAACAAGAGCGCAAAGGACGGCTACCGTTCGTACCTGCACGCGTACGCGTCGCACTCGCTGCGGACTGTCTTTGACGTGAATAAGCTGGACCTCGCTAAAGTGGCCAAGAGCTTTGGGTTCTCGACGCCGCCGCGGGTGGATATTACCGTGGGCGCGAGCATGAGTCGGGATAAGAAGACGCAGGGTAGGAGGGCGTATGGAAGTCAGCCTAGGAACCAGCAGAGTGGTACTGGTGGGTTTTATAAGAAGCGGTAAAAGGGGTGATTTTGAGGGGGGAGTTCAGTGGATGATGATGAGAAAAAAGGGAGGAAGAGGGAGAGGTTCTTGTTATTGCTGAGATGGCATGGTTCCTGTGAGAATAGATTTTGGTCAGCACGGCGTCGCGTCATCAAAACATTATGATGGTTCAAAAAATGGTAATTTGGGACTGGCTTTTTTTCATTCTAGAATCTTGGTCTTGCTTTATGATATGTGATGGTGTATGAACGGTCCAATTGTCTCTCACAAGGGAAGAAAGAGCCTCGCCTTTCACTCTCGATCCTCGACTTGTTTTCAGTCCAAGTGAAGGAGACGGAGACATTCAAAGGATAGTCTGGCCTCGATGCCTCCCGAGAAGACAAGAAGCCTTTATCTTTCATTCAAGGCTAGCAAGTTCGAGGCGAGGCTGGTTTACTACACCGAGCCCGTCGGTCAGAGGGTCGTGGCCAGGAAACCCAGGATTTATTCAATGGCGAATATACGGAAGAGCTGACCAGAATGCTCTCCTGAATCTTTTCTCCTAAATCAGCCATGGACCTCAGACCAGACTGCTCCTGCCTCATTCACTCGCTTCTACACCACTCAAATATCAACATCTACATCACCTGGACGAGAGCTCACTCAACCACATCACCAACCCATCCAGCGCTCTTTCCTTTCTCAAGGGTTTTTTTTTCAAGCTTTTTTCCTTCCCTCAACCAATGCTCGACTTCTCTTTCTACTTCATTTATACACTAGCAAGAAGTCGTCTTTTTTTGAAGATTGAAGGGACATCGACGGCAGGTCGCATACAAGCTTCGCCTTCCCAACCAGTGACAAACGAATCGACGAACTCACCTTCTACCTATTCTTTGATTTCAATATCGAAAAGAAAGACAGCTTTCGAATAAAGATTCATATCATCGTTCGAGCAGTCCAGAGGCGGCCGAGATTTCTCTCTGTACCCAGCAAACGAGGGCATCGAGAAGTTCACTTCAATCCACACCCATTTGGATCTTATTGTGCCCGTTCATTGGCTACGACTGCGTCTATAAGACATCCGAACCAGAGGCAATATCAAAAACAAAGTCTCGACGATCAGGGTGCTGCAAAGCATTCACTCGATATCTATTACACCTTCACCTCATCGACCAGTCTGCGATCCAACTCACGATAACTTCACACCAATCAGCCCAAATCTCACAACCCACAAAGGAACAACTCCAAGTCAATAACGGCACCAAAGACAAAGATGTGCACCTACACCTACACCCTCCATACCGCCTGCATGCACAAGCAGTACCAGAACATGATGGAGTGCGTCCGCGTCCGCACCGGCGACAGCACCACACGCTTCGGCACCTATCGGACCCTCCACGCCGAGCTCACTCTCAACAGACATGTCCACTTGCCCGAGCGGGAGCCCTTTGACATTCCCCTCCGGGAGTGTAAGGGTCGTGGGCGGTATGCTACGCGCCCGGTGAATGGGCTCTGTATTGCTTGTAAGAGGGAGGAGAGGGAGAAGCGGGCTGTTGAAGCGAAGGGTGAGTTTTGAGTTTTTCTATAATCCTATCTCCTTTTTGAGTTTTTTCCTTCTTTTCTTCAATGTCTGTTGGGCTTCTTGTTCGGTAATTTGGCTTTGCCTAGTACTCTTCATATAGAGGACATTTGCCTTATGGAGAGCTTTTATCTCAAAGAGTATATGCCATACTACATTCCCTCAGAGAATCCCCGTTGTTTACTATCCTCCCCAGTGATTATATACCGTGCGGCGTACACGCTAGGAGATGATGACTGACCAAGGCCGGTGATACAGATGCTCAGCGCAAGGCGGGTGGTGCCGATACGGCGGCGGGAGTGAGGGACAGCATCATGGGGTTGGAGACCCTTGTTGCTGCCACCAAGCGGATGGATCTGGAGGATTGAGGGTTATGAATCAGCTTTCACCTCTACAGCTTCATCCGCTTGGGGGCAGGAATGGCATTGAGTTCGGAGGAGGGGTTTATAAAGGTGTCACTAGGGAAAGCAGGGACTTGTTTTTGGCCGTTGGGATGGACTTTAGGAATGATACCCCCAGATTAAACCATGAATTACGACGATGAATGAGATTTTCTGGTCTCGATGAGATAAGGTTTATGATTCACGTGGATGTTGATGAAGAGAGCAAGTTGGTGATGATGGCGAGGGATGTTCGTGATGTTGATGGTGGAGGCCGGCGCCGAAGTGACACGGGTGACGGACGCGTGGGGCAGAGGGGGAAGGTTCAGCGAATTGGCGCCGGGCAGGGACTGTGGGGGAAAGAGCACCGAGGGGAGGGGGATCGGCGGGTCCATGCTTTTTACGGGGTTGGCATTCTGGCGGTTCAGGGTCGGTGGCTTGAACTTGAAGAATGCGCCAGCCTCTGAGTTCTAGATTTCAGACAAGTTCCTGATAAATGGGACAGTTGGTCTGCAATTGACGGCTGTGCTTCATTGGCTGTATTTGGTTCTTCTTCAGAGCTGACATTAGAGCTGGACCAAAAGAGGGGTCTTCTGCCGCCGTCGTACTACAGAAACGACACATGACACTTTGGGCGCTAATTGGAGAGCCATGTGCTACTTGGATCGTCTGGCGTCTGTCAGATTTGTTCTGGATCCCGGTCTACGTACCACTTCCACGCCTACCAGAGGTACCTGGGTACTTCGTACGGATGGTCTGTTTAATGCTACCGGGCAGGTTACCTAGGTAGATGATGCATAACGCAGGATTCAGTCAGACTTTTGAAGAGGAACGCCAACCACCAGACAGATCAACAGCATGTTCATCCCGTTTGTCCATTCATGCGCAGATCGATACAATCATAAGATGGGCAAAACAATATCAGTGGTCCAAGAAAGCGAGTGTGACGGTGCCAGCCAAACTCAATTGCTTCACCTCTGATGCTCTGACTGAACATGAATACCTCTCACAGCTTGAAGTGGTACGAATAGAGGTACCCTGACTGCCCCCCCCTTATCCACCTACCTCGCTCCTTGCCCATGCACCTCGCACCCACGAAGAGCAAGTACCCCGGCCTCAGGTGACAGTGATGGGTTCCAATCCTTCCAACAAGTTGGATTGCGCCAACACCAACAGGAACAGGTGCAGATGCGGTTGCAGATTGCAGACACCAACGACGCGCACTCCCACCTTTTGCCTCTTACAGCCCAGGGAAGACAGACGAATGCGCCTTTAAGCCTCGTAGCATTCGCTGAGCCCATTCCCATTGCCATCCTTGGTCAACCTAATGGTATCCGTTTCTCACCCCCATCTTCCTGGCTCAGGTCCTCCCCGCTTGGCCCCGTCGCAATCCACCAATACATCATACCTGGGCAGGCACCTCACCTCGCAACCCACGTTTCTACCTATCTCCGTGCGCCCCCCCATAACTCCAGCCGCAGCCAATTAATACTACCTACCTACCTCACTACTCCCACCACCACCACCATCACGGATACATCCTCACAGCATCACCACCCGAGCGAGCTCACATACCCGACTGTTCGCATATCCTTCCCTTCATAGCATCGCATCGTCCTTCCCCCATTGCATTGTTTCGTCCTTTTTGCATGCGTAATCCGTAATCGAACCTCCCCCGCGCTACTGCTCGAAAATGGCCAAGAAGGCGCGCCAGAGGGTCAGCTATGGTATGTCTGGTCGTGTGCATCTTCTGTCCGTGCCGCTCTGCTTGCTGTTGGTGCTCGTGTGCCGCTGCGCTCCCGTCGCATGTTGGCTGAGGCCGGACGACCGCAACCCCGCACGTCCGCCGGGACGAGCACCTCGGGTCTTGACCTTCATCGCGAGACTCGGATCTGTCTGCAGCGTTCCTCGAACTGACAATGGCCTCGCTTGCTAATCACACATGGTCAAACAGTCCTCGAGCTCCCAGCTGGTTCGCAAGGCGGCGGCCACAGACTAGGCGTCAATGGCCTCGCCGTCGACAAGGACAATGGCATCCTGTAAGATCCCGAGACCGCGAAGCGAACCGCAGCCCCTCCTCCTGCTCCTCCTGCTCCTCCTCCCTGTGCCGCTATCCGCTGACACTGCTCCGCTCGCAAACAGATACTCGGGAGCCCGCGATGGCTACATTTGCGCATGGGACCTCAACCTCAACCTCCAGACCGGCGGCAGCGCACCACCCCCCGAGACCAAGACCAAGACCGCCTTCCGCTCCCAGACCCAGGCGCACATGGCATGGATCAACGACATTGTCCTCGCCAACAACAACTCCGCCGTCGTCACCGCCTCCAACGACCTGACTGTCAAGGTCTGGCGCCCACACTCCGAAACGAACGATATCGCCGCGACCATTGGAGGACACGCCGACTATGTCAAGTGCGTTGCCACGCCCCCTGGCGGCTCCGTCAACTGGGTTGCCTCGGGTGGCTTCGATCGCAAGATATACCTGTGGGACTTGAACGGAGGAGGCAAGACTCTCGAGATTGACACCCAGGGCGACGAGGTTGCGGAGAAGGGCTCTATTTACGCCCTGAGCGTCGGCCACAGCATCATGGCCAACGGCGGTCCCGAGTCGGTTGTGCGCTTATGGGATCCTCGTTCCGGCAAGAGGGTGACAAAGTTCGTCGGCCACACGGATAACGTGCGCGGCGTCCTGCTCAACGAGGCCGGTGACAAGGTGCTTACGGCCAGTTCCGATCACACGATCAAGCTCTGGAGTGTCACGGCTGGACGTTGTATGTACACGTTCACCATGCACGAAGACAGCGTCTGGTCGCTCTTCTCGGACGATCCTGAGCTGGGTACCTTCTACAGCAGTGACAGGTCCGGTTTCGTTGTAAAGACGGACGTCCGCGGAAATCTCGAAGACCTCGACGACGGAATTTCTGTTGCCGTCGCCCACGAGTCTCATTCGATCAGCAAGGTTGTGGCGGCAGGCGACTACATCTGGACGGCAACCAACACTTCGTCAATCAACCGTTGGTCCAATGTCGATACAGGCCCTGACTTACAGCTTCCCGAGGCATTCCAACGCCAGCGCGCAGCATCCACGGCTTCGAGAACTAGACAGCCCTCGAGTCCTCCGCCTGCGAACTCGCCAAAGAAGGAAATCTCACCGAGATCGATCTTGCGTATCTCCAACACGGCGACATTCCCAGTCCAAGTCAATCCTGGCCCGGAATCTCCACCGGCGGTTGGGAATCATGTACCGCATGGGACCGAGCCCATCAACCAGAACCCGGAGGAGACCATTGAAGGCCAGTTTGGGTTGGTGAAGCACAGGCTCTTGAACGACAGGAGAAGAGTCCTGACGCTAGACACGGCTGGTGACGTTCTCATGTGGGATCTCATCAAGGTATGTTGGCCCTATGTTTGACTCGAGGATGAATCACTGACTCTCGCAGTGCAAACCAATCCAAAAGTTTGCGAAGAAGCATCTGGAAGATGTTGAGATAGAAGTCAACACGACCGAAGCAGTAGCCCCGTGGTGCTCCATCGACATCAGCTCTGGAAGTCTGACTGTGGTTCTGGAGCCGTTCAATTGCTTCGATGCAGAGATGTACGCGGACGATCTGGAGTTGGAGGAGCCGGTCGAGTTCCGGGAGGACCAGAGAAGTGAGAAGCTCGCAAACCTGAGAACGATCACATGCTAACCAGGCTTACAGTCAACCTTGGCAAGTGGATTCTTCGCTACCTATTTGCTGGCTTGATCGATGAGGAAATCAAGCGAGATGAAGCGTACCGTGCCACACTCAACGAAGCTGTAGAGCGGAGGCTACAAGCAAGCCGCGCGAACCCACCTTCGTCAATAGCGATGCCTACCGATAACGCTTGGGATGAGAGTTCGGGAACGACACCACGTGCGAATGGCTCTCATTACCCCATGACGCCTGGCATGGCTATCGGCCTCGCCACGCCGGGAGCTGGCCGGCTTCACGACGTCCCAGAAGGAGCAGCCACACCATCCAGTCCCCTTGACAACAAGTCGTCTCAGTTCAGCCGGCCATCAACTGAGCGGGAAGACTATTTCACAAGCGCTATTGGACCGATTGAAGGAGCTTCGAAGCCTACCGCAGCACCAGCGACGCCTGCCGAGCAAACAGCGGCTCCCGATGCCAAGACACCCGCAGACACGAGCAAAGACAAGGAGAAGGACAAGGAAAAAGACAAGGAGAAGGATGCAACCAATGGAAAGTCACCCAGCACGGCATTTGGCAAGAAGTTCCGTATGGGCATGGGTATGTCTTTTGGCAGCAAGAAGAGTGGACGGTCGGCCTCGACTACTGCCCCAGAGAAGCCAGCTGTGGTGGACGAAAAGGCTGAAGAGTCCGAGGCATCATCGACGCACGAGAAGGAAGTCGACGACAGTTTCCTGGGCGCCATTCAAAAGATTCGAAATGACTACGACAAGTCGCTGACCGAGAATCCTGAGAAGCTCATCGAGACAAAGGTTACACCAAGCTTGGCAAACGACACTCCGGTGCTGAAACTGCCTCCTGGCACAAAGGTTGTCCTTCAGGAAGAAACGACTGGTGGAAGTGCCAACATATACCAAGGCACTGTTGAGACGGTCGGCCAGGGTGCGGATATCATTGAGCAGTGCGGTCCAATGTGGTTGGGCGAGGTGCTGCTCCAGAATCAGATCCCTATCAAGGAGCCTGTTAAGGTCTCGTTCGTCCTTCAGCCATGGCAGAATAGTTTGCCCGACATTGCAACAACAGATGGCAACAACCGTCTCAACGCCAACAGAATGCTACGAGTCAAGAAGATCTTGGCCTACGTTGCGGAGCGCATCGATCCCCAGCAGGAGGCTCCGGAGCCGGATGCTCTCTTGCCTCACGAGTACTTGGAGTTGTACTGTAACGAACAGGTTAGTGTTTTATGCTTGTGCCTTGCTCGATCTCTGCTAACTCGGCTTAGCTACTACCCATCACAATGACCCTTGCAACTCTACGAGCCCACATCTGGAAGGGTGGCAACGACGTTCAGCTGTACTACAAGGCAAATGGGCGCAAGGAAATCAAAGAGATCAAGGAGGCTCCCAAGGCGGAATCCGAGCCTGCAGCAGCACCACCGGCAGCAGCGGAATCTGACCATGCACCATCGACAGGCACCGCAACGCCTCCAACGACAGGATAGTCTCTGTCTCGACTGGCGGGCTGGTGGCAAGGGAGACCGCACCTTGAGGTGAGCTTGCCAAAGGCACAGCTGCAGAGCTTCAAAACCATGGAGGTGGTAAAGAAAGCCGACCAAGAGCAGTACATGAAACGTGCGACATCTGACCTCACTCCGCCACGGTCGTGGGGATCATCTACGGCTGTCTCAGCTTCGCGATAGTCTCGAGTGGTGGACAGGGTGCGGCCAACCAGGGAGTGCCATTGGCATCGAGGTGGCTCGCGGACCACAAAGTACAAGTGGGCAATTTCGTCATCACGAGAGTTGAACATTGCTATACGACATGAGTCAAAGGGCCTGCGACCTTGAGTCAGTACGGGTATAATGGCGTTTTTCAGTAATGTACATAGCGGAAAAGTTGTCAAGTGCAGGCAGCCCTTCTGGCTGCGTACTCGAGCGTATGTTTATACAGCGGGAGGGCAAGTTGAGGACCCTCCAATCTAGATTTTTCTTCCCCTTTTCACATGGCCGGTTCGCCGTCTATCCAGCGCGTTGTACGTTGCGCCTCTATGCATATTCGTGCCCCATCACACCCCCCAAGCACTCGTAAGAAAGATTATTATATCACGGCGCCGGTCAATGTATTTGACGCAAACTGATAACTGCCGAGGAAAATGGATCCCCCGATGCTGATCCACATGACCCTCGGCCCGATACCCGCAAAGAAGGGCCGGATGCCGTGCTCCTTGTAAATCGTACGCAAAATATCACCAATCTTCTCCTTTTGCTGGCTCAGCATCACCCTTGTCTTGAGGACGTCAAGCGGCGTCGTGATACCCGCGGCCGCGGCACCGGCAACGCTACCGTACAGCGCGCTCTCGACGGCGCTGACCTCGTATTCTGTCTGTTTCTGCGTGTTGGCGCCGGTCTGCGGGTCAATGTCGAGTTTGTAGTTTTTGGCCTGTTTGCGCTCGCGGCCCCAGCGCTTGAGGCGTTCCCAGAGGGGGAACTGGATTATGGTGAAGGGGACCTCGCGGAGGACGGTGATGGACCAGCCGCGGTAGAGCTCGCGCCAGACGGCGGATGCGCCGCCGCCCGGGGAGGAGTATTGGGAGAGGATGGAGCGGAAGGCGAGGAGGGAGGAGCCGCCGTGCTGGCCTGCTTGGGCGCGCTGTTTTACGACTTCGGTGGGGACGCGGATTGCGCAGGCGGCGATTTCGCCTAGGGAGGCGGCGAGCATGTGGGTTGCTGGGTCGATCCAGGCTGGTTTTGGTGATGATGATGAGCCTGAAGCAGAGGAAGAAGAAGAGGAGCCGGAGAGGGCGAGGAGCCGGGAGTTTATAAAGGATTTGGAACCCTCGTAGGTGCAGAAGAAGAAGGCGGCGCCGGGTGCTGAGCCGACGACGGCGGAGCCGATGCCGCGGTAGATTCCGGTGAAGCCGCCTGAGGGGAAGAAGCCTGCGGAGGATTGGAGGCGGGTTTTGAGGGTGTCGAGGGGGAAGAGGGTTAGGTCTACTGTTGTGCCTGCGATTCCGCCTGCTAGGAGGGCTGTTGTGAAGGAGGGGGGGTTGTTGGTGGTGGACATTGTTGCGGTTGTAGTGGGTTTTATGGGAGGTGTTTTTGTGTGGTGAGGTTGATTCGTGGGGAGTTTGCTTCTTCGTTTCTTTCTGGGTGCCTTCGATTGGGTATGGATCGGGTGGTGGCGGTGGTGGTCGTGGTGGCTTCGTGGAGGTCGAGATGTTGTGTCGCGTGCTCGGGATTGCGCCGACGATTAGGAGGATGGATGTAAATTGAGGGCAGCGAGACGAAAGTCAATTGACCTGTATCAGCAAAGGAATGAAAGGCCGAAAGAGAGAAGGGCCCAATGATACGACGACGGAGAGTGCATCTGCGCAAATAAGAGGGAGAGAAGAGCACTTGAAGTGTCAATGACGGAGGAGGTGAGATTGGTATTGTGAGGTATTAGATATCGGAGCTCAATCGGTCCCTGTACGTAACGCGACGAGGAAAAAAAAAGAACGGCCAGGGTCTTTGCGCTAGAGCTCCGACCCTCCGAGGTCTCTCGCCGCTCGGTGAGGTGGGTTATCAGCGAGCGCGGGGCCCGGGGGGAGCTCTCTTATCTTATCGGCATTTACCTTACCGTGCTTACCTAGTACCTAGAGGTCCAGTGTTCACCTCCGCTTGGGAAATCTTTCCTCCGAAGAGCCCGAGTTCTGAGGTTCCGGTGGTGGGGGATTTGGTCGGATGAAAGCTCCATCTTTTTTTGTCTTCCATCGCGCCGGCCGTCACGTTGGAGACTGCCAACCGTTGATTCGTCAATTGCAAATATCTTCTGAGACGAAACCCACGATAGCTTCGTGCAGCTCAACGACACTCCACTGAACAAAGCAGTTGAGACTACACATACGAAAGAACAAAGGGGCGAGGACCACCGCACGATGGAATGGCCTTCACCAACCCCCCGATCGCGACCGCAGCGGCGACCGCAACAGCAACAGCGGCAGCGGCCGCAGCCCACCACCTCTTCCTCCACCCGGTCCCGAAACCCATAACCTTTCTCGAATTCTTCGACGCCATCCGCGCCGCCACCCCGCCGCGCTTCCCCCACGCCCGAACCGCCCAGCCGCGCCGCATCGGCCTCGCTGTGTCAGGCGGCGTCGACTCCATGGCTCTAGCCTACCTCTTTAACCAGCTGCGCGAGATCAACCCCCTCATGCGCGTCGTCGATAACCCGCTCGCGAAAATATCGGCCTATGTCATTGACCACGGCCTGCGCGAGGGATCCCGCGAGGAAGCACTCGCTGTCGTGAAGGAGTTGCGGAATTTCAAACATATTAGGCCGCAGTCGGAGGCGGTTAATTGGAAGGCTGAGGGCGTGACGGGCGATCCGAATCTGTTACCCAATGTCGAGAGTCTCGCGAGGAGGGTGCGGTACCGCCGGCTCGGAACGCTGTGTCTCGCGATGCACGTCGAGAGTATCTTCCTCGCGCACCACCAGGATGATCAGTACGAGACCGTGCTGATGAGGTTACTCGCCGGCCACGGAAGCCGCGGGCTAAGAGGGATGCTCAAAGCCGGGAATATACCAGAGTGCTACGACATGCACGGCGTCTACGAGAGCGGCCACGTCGACGACCAAATGATGCGGATCCCGCAGATCAGCTTCCGCCCGCCGAAGAGGGATTGGAGGCACATGCGGCGGCAGCTCGTCTCGGAGCTGGATTTGGAGTTGTACGGTGCCGAGTTGAGGGCGGGGTTGCAGACGGGGTGGCATGAGGGACCCTATGTCGGCGGCGGCGGCGAAGATGACAGCTCTGGGAGCGATTGGCTGTTCTCGGCGGCGAGTTCTGCGTCTGCGAAGGCGAGGGCCGCGGCGGCGGCAAGGAATATGACGAGGATTCGCACCGAGGAGGCTGGGGTGATGATTTATCGCCCGTTGCTCGAGTTCAGCAAGGACCGGCTGATTGCGACGTGTGAGGCGAATAACGTGCGCTGGTTCGAGGACGCGACGAATAAGGACGTGACGCTGACCACGAGGAACGCGGTGCGGCACATGGTGCGGAATCACAATTTGCCCGCGGCGCTGCGGAAAGAGAATGTGCTGAGGATGTCGGCGCGGTGCGGGGCGAAGCTGAGGGGTCTGGAGCGGGAGGCTGAGAGGTGGATCAAGAGGCAGGTTATCGCGGAGTTTGAGCCGAATGTCGGGACGCTTGTTGTTCGGCTTCCTGAGCTGGGTGTCTTTGGTCCCGGCCCGGGACAAGGGCGCGGGAGGGGGAGGAAGTCAGTCAACGACGGCGTGAGGAGGGAGCTGCGGCTCGCGCACCGGAGGGCCGTCGCGGGGTTTGTCGTAAAGAGACTCGTCGCCTTCGTCTCCCCCGATCGGAACCCGCCGCAGCATACATCCCTCCAAAACATTGTCGCCAAACTCTTCCCCACCCTCGTAGAAGACTCTCCATCTTCCTCCGCCTCAGTCCCAATGGCACCGCCCAAGGCCTTCAACCAGGCCTCCGTCCTCTTCCTCCCCCTCGCCCCCTCAAAATGGTACCTCGTCCGCGAACCCTACCCCTCCCTGCACCCGCACCCGCAAACGACCTACACGACGACCTCCAACATTAGCGACAAGCACCGCCACCCGACCTTCCCGCCCACGCAGTGGGAGTGCGCCGAGGACGCCGAGTACATGTCGCGCGAGCGGCTCGCGCTGCTGGACCGCATGCCGCTCCCGCAGCCAAAGTTCCGCGAGACGAGGCGGTGGTACGCGTGGCGGCGGTTCAAGCTCTGGGACGGGCGGTTCTGGATCCGGGTGAGGGGCCGGGTGAAGGCGTATTTCCGGATTGCGCCGTTTGCGCCGATTCATGGCAAGGCTTTTCGGGAGGGTCTTGGGGGTGGGGGGGAGGCTGGTGGTGCTGCTGATGCCGTAGAGAGGGAACAGCAGGAGAGTAAAGAGGAGGGAGAGATTCAAGCTGCCCCTGGGATTGGCGTCACTGGCGGGCGTGGCAGCAGCACCAATACAACGATGAGCGCCGCCGATCGCAGGGCAGAGTTTGAGGGCATACTGAAGCGTTTCGCGCCGGGCAAAGTGCGGTATACCCTCCCCGCGCTCTACGCCGTCAACCGCGACGAGCAGACGGGCGAAGAGGTGCTGAGGATGCTCGCCCTACCGACGTTGGGCGTCGGGTTACCTGGCCTGGAGAGGTGGGTTCAGTATGAGGTGCGGTATCGCAAGGTCGATATGGGTTTATTTGAGCGCGAGACGGTGGGTAGAGGGAGTAGAGGCGGCGGTTGGGGTCGTATGCCACAGAGACGTGGCGGTGGGAGTGACGGTGGCAGTGACAGAGGAAGTGGAAGCGGTGGTAGAAGTCAGAGCAGCGGCGCCTTTGTCGGTGGTGCGGTGCTCCGGAGACATGTTTTGGCGGATGGCACGGCGGAGGAGAGGGCTTGGAAGCGGATTAGTGGGATTCGGAGGAGGAAGAGGATGATGACGGCGGTGGTGGTGCGGAACAAGAAGAAGCAGGAGGAGGAGGAGTAGGAGAGGAGAGCGAGTTTTGGTTTGAGGTCTGCTTGATGAGCACGAGATACCCCCCTTATTTACCTGTGTTTGCCTAGACCTTGGGTAGTAATACTTCATTATATCAAAGGAGATGATTTGCCAGTCACTGTGAGAGCGGAGATGGATGAGAGGTGTTGATGAAGTTGATGCTCTTGTGTATATTTCAAGTATAAAAAGGAAAAAAAGTATTCGAGGTTCGTGATTTCGCCTCGTCGGTATTTGCCAAAATGCGTGCAATACAATTGGGTTATGTGTAAAAGATTGCTCAGGTCATCTTTGCTGAGCTTTCCTCGTCCGAAAACGCCGTTGAAATCCATCCATCCATCCATCCATCCATCGTAACGACAGATATTAAGGTAATTTGCCCTTTTTTTTCCCTTCCATCTCTTTTCGCTCCCTTCAAAAGATGACGCAAATTCGCGCCATCGTTCGTCCACGTATTTCCCGCATACATGGAACGCATCTATACCAACACCTACCGTTTCTATCACCCAGAGGGAAATGCTCATAAAGCCGTTTGTGCTTGTTTGGCTCACCTCTCCTCCCCGATAATAAGAATCTCATCGCCAGAAACACTCCCCAACGACACCTGACAGTTCCACGCCTGGCCCTTGTGAGCGTGCACGGCCTTGGGCCACTTTGTCCGGCTATCAATCCTGACATCTTTCCCGCGGATGTCAATCTTGCCGCTGATGCTCTCGGCTTCGACGGTGCCTTCCCAGGAGGCAGGGTACTTGAGCTCCATGCTCCCGCTGACAGATCCGTGCGAGGACTTGAGGTGGCGCATGGGCGGTTGGTCCTTGATTGCGGCGGCGCGCTCCTGCTGAGAGGAGGACACCGTGATGGCGTCGCCGTGGGGGTGGCGACGCACCACACGCCAGGCGTCGTCCAAGTGTCGACCACCGGGCAACGGGATCCGCTTCCACGGCCCGGCGCCGATGGGCGTGAAGGGCACGCCTGGCATGCGCGGGATCTTTTCGGGGATAGGCAGCGGGTTCGTCGGGATGTCCACCGGTTCATCTGGGTTCGCGCGCGGCTTCTCGCCCTCGTACGCGCCTTCGGTGCCGAGGATCTCCACCCAGATGGGATCGAGGATTTTCACGGCGGTGTCGCCGGACTTGGTCTTTGTGTGCAGCTCGGGCTCCGTGACGGCCTGGAGGAGGCTGACGTTGTAGACGGGCAAGAACTCGGCGGCGATGTCGCCGCTGATGCTCTCTGCGACGGCGGCGGAGGAGAAGGCGACCCAGGCCTTGATGGAGCCTGATTTGGTGTCGAGGGTGGTGATGTAGTCGCGCGGCGGGACGACGGTGTCGGGTTTGCTGCTTTCCGCGGCGGCGGCGAGGGGTTCCTTGACGGTGACGTCGCCCGAGATGGTGGCGACTTCGAGGACGGCCGGGCGGGGGCGGGAATCGAGGACTTGTTGGGGCGCGACGTTTGCGATGATGTCGCCTGATTCCGAGTTGATCTTGAGGGAGTCGTAGAGGGGCCAGGAGCCGATGATGTCGCCCGAGATGGTCTTTACGAGGATGTCGCGGGAGTTGAGGCGGTACGTGGTGGGGACCTGGACGGGGGAGTGGACGTCGCCGGACAGCGTGCCGATCTCGAGGCCGTCTGCGAGGTTGATGGAGAGGTCATCGATGACGCGGACGTCGAGGTTCGTGGCCCAGAGGAGCATGTGGCGGAGGGAGGCGCCCTCGGGGACCCAGACGGTCGCGCGGACGGTCATGCAGGGCCGGCGGGACTCTGTCCATTCGACGCGCTGCGGGGTGTGGATGAGGAGCTGCTGCTCCGAGTTCCACTCGACGGCGACGTCGAGGGCCGGGTCGTTGGAGACGACCTCGAACTCGATCGAGGGTCCCGGGCGGCCGGCCTGCTGGCGGCGGACGACAAGGTCGCCCGAGACCAGGGGCTGGTAGCCGCGGGAGGGGGAGTTGGTTTCGACGGTTTGTAGGACGCTGATGGACTTGTCCGCGGCGAAGGTGAGGTCGAAGAATTTGGGTTCGAAGCGGTGCTCGGCTTGGAGGCACGAGCTTGAGGGATGCCAAGGGACGGGTTGGCCTGGCTCGGCGGGTTTGGGGGGATCACTTGGCGCGGGGGACCCGTCTTTGATGGGCAGGCCGGTGACGGGGTCATATTGCTGGGGAGGCTCCTTGGCAGGAGACTTTCCAGATGGCTAGGAGATGTTAGCTTCAGCCAAGATAGTAGATGTAGATTGGGGGTTGAGACGCACCGAGTTGACTACAGTCGAGGCCAACATGCTGAGGAATCCCGTCAAGGTGAAGAAGACCAAGGCGCCAAGCAACATCATCTTCAACGTCCGCCTGGAAGCCCAAGGGAACTTTATAAGAGCTCTATCCCTCCATGACGGCGAGGGTCTAGGGTCGTGGTCATCGTCGTCATGGTCATCATAGGGCACGTCGCCCATGCTCTCGGGGTCGCGGCCGAGCAGGCGCCTCTCTTCTTCGGGTGCGCCCATGTTGATGTTGTTGCTGTTGGTCGTCCCCGCGATGGTGTTGAAGGTTTGGTAGTTTCTAAACTCTGTGGGTGATGACGAGAGCGGGGACGTGGGCGATGGCGTGTAGGCGGGTGGTGCCTCGCTGGGGATGCGAAACAGAGAGGCCGGGTTGTTGGAGGAGTATCTCGAGTGAGTCTGGGGCGTGCGCAGTGGAGCGTCGGTGGAGGGCGAGTAGGGCGTATAAGACGACGAGCTCTGGGCGACGTGGGAGTGTGAGTGTGAGCGAGAGTGGGAGTGGGAGTGGGAGTGGGAATGGGAGGTATAGGTTGTATGTGACGGCGTCGCCTCGCTGTCTGCGGCGGTGGAGGAGGCTCCGTCGTCGTAAAAGTCGTCGACGGCCGAGACGGATGACGAGGTCCTCCTATGTGTTGAGGAGTAGTGACGTGATTGTGCTTCTACGGCGGCGTCGTTGTTGTGGGGGTGATGATGGAAGGATGTGTTCCGCCTTGTCTCTTCCTTGGCCTCGCGGTCCTTCTTTGACGACGAGGAGCCTTGTTCTTCTTGCTCTCGCTGCAGCAGCGACGGGTCTTGGACGAGGACGTTGGGCACATGCGGTACGGCGGCGGACGTGGGGAACGTCGTCGCGTCAGTGACGTTGTCCTCGCTGTTGTGGAAATGAGACTCTTGCTGCTGCGGAGGGTATATTCCCCCGGCTGACAATGAAGTGCTGCTTTGGAAGTATCCGTCTGTTGGCGATAGGTGGGCGTCGAGGCTGTCGTCCGGGACCTCGTCAAAGTCGGAGTCGTCGGCGGAGTACAGGTTGTCGGAATACGGGGCCGGCATGGCGGCGGTTACTATTTCAGTCCTTCTCCCTTTCTTTTTGTTTCTGGTTGGCTGACAGGGTGAGGATGAGTCCCCTTGGACTTGAACTGTCTGTGCTTTGGGATACCGATACACCGTTTTGGAGTATACGAGTTGTTCCCTCGTCCTGCGGTTCTGTTTCTTAATGCCGGGTCACTTAAAGTTTGAGCTTTGCCCCTTGGACAGGCACTCTAGGGTCTCTGACGGGGTAGACGGTGGCAGTCTGGCAGTCTGGCAGTCTGGCAGCCCAAACAGTGACAGCGACTGAATCGTGAAGGGGACTTGGCTGATACGCGCAGTGTCGTGGGCGACGGGTAGAACGGACGCCAAGAAACGGAGTCAAACAGTTTCGGTGACGGGGGCTTTCGTTTGCTTCAGCACCCTCTCCGTGAGTAATGCCGTTGCTGTTGGCTGACTGATCAAACAATGTATGAGTGGAGTATCTCTCGCTCGTGTCAATAGATGATTGCACCTTGTCAACGTTCAACAATAACACGCGCGCAGTCGTAAGACGTGTGATAATAGGAAGGAGGAAACAAGAGAAGTGCGCGTTCACGCTTGATTGAGGCAAGCCGGAGGGGGTGAGATGGGAGAATAGAGGGGAAAGTTACGGATACCGCAGAAGAGGGACGAAGAAGAGAGGGAGTTGAATGGGATTGACAGGAATGGCTTCACAGAAAGAGACTAGTAGGGAGTTGAGTCGGAGCCGAGATTGAGACAACCTCGCAGAGACACACACACACACACACAGAGAGAGAAAGAGAGAGAGAGAGAGAGAGAGAGAGAGAGAGAGAGAGAGAGAGAGAGAGATAGAGGGAACCCCCAACAACCTACGGATACACGAACGAACTGCAATCAGAATCCACAAGACCGAACCCGGTCGGGTCGCCGAAGACGCAAGACAAGCGTGAACAAGGCAACGCCGCTGCCCGCACGACGTCCCCGGCGGCCTGTACCCGATACGGTGGGAGGATTCACTCGACATCGCGAAAGAGGAGGGGGGCCAAGACTCGTAAGCCTGCAGATCAGGGTAAGATATGAGACCGTGTACCGGCACCGTGGACGACGGCGGTGTCGGGGACTTGGGCTGCTACCAGGCGTAAGACGACGCAACATTGTGTGGTGTGAACCATCTCAGTCCCTCTCGCCTCCTGGTACCCAATCAGTCCTGCAGTAAAGTACTCTCCTAGACTTCTGGTAACCAAGTCCATGGCTTCTTGACTCTTCTTTCGCAGCTTTGCTTGCGTGACACGCATGTGCAGCCAAACGAAACAGGAAGCTCGTTAAGGACGGTGGGGTACCTAAAAGTACGAGGGATGCCGTGCCGCCGGGCGAAGGAAGAAAAAGTCAATTGGATTATTGGACAACGGTCATGGAGTGGAGAAGAAGAGAAAAAGAAAGTAAGACGAGCACAAGTTCCTCGCCCAGCAAGGATGGTCGTGGGTGACTTGTTGACGTTCTGGTGTACAGATAGTAACTAGTAAGATCATCTGTGAGGTGGTGAATAGAGTTGGGCGCGCAATCTGACAAGCTCCGAAAAGATTAGACTTGGGGAAAAGAGTCATCAGCCATCAGTCAACATCTCCCAGCAGTAAGTGGAGCAATGTTGACCCGATCTTACACCGACAAAAGTTCCCCGAGTCTACGGATACCTACGTTACTAGGTAGTAGGTACGGAGTAATTTAGCAAATACGGATAACTAGATATCTTTTGGTACATGTTGCCCACGCAATGGGCTCGTATTAGACAAAGTTCCTCCTAGCATCTCCCCCTCTCCAGTGCTCTAGAGCTTATCCAAGTTACCCCTACCATCAT